AATCCTAGCACTTCAGAAGGCCGAGGCAGGCGGATCACCTAAGGTCAGGAGTTTGAGACCAGCCTGGCCAACATGGCAAAACCCCGTCTCTACCAAATATAAAAAAGTTAGCTGGATGTGTGGTGAATGCCACTTGGAAGGCTGAGGCAGGGGAATCACCTGGACCCAGGAGGCAGAGACTGCAGCGAGCCGAGACCACGCCACTGCACTCCAGCCTGAGCAACACAGCGAGACTCTGCATCAAAAAAAATAAAAATCAACAGAGCTTTACTAAGCTGTGAACCAACAATGAAAAGTACAACATAAGTGAAATGGTAATCTCAAAAAGAGAAAAGAAAGAACAGGAAACAAAAATATTTGTGAAAATAATATCAAAATTTTTCTCCAATTTCGTTTTAAAATTATGAAAATCAAGAAGCTCAAAAAACCGTAAGATGGATGACTATAATGAAAATCAAGCTTGGGAATATCATGGTTTAAATGCTTATAGTCAAAAGTAAAATCTTGCGGGGGGGGAAAAAAAGTCAAAGAAAACTGACACATTACCTTTAAGTGAATAATGAAATGAATTCCACTGAATTACCATCAGAAACTGTGGGTCTAGAGGATAGAAGAGTAAAACTTTTAGATTAAAAAAAAAAAAAAAAAAAAAAAAAAAAAAAAAAAGGCCAGTTAATTAATCCAAAAGGAAGGAAGAAAAAGAGAGGCAGAGGAACGAAAAACAGGATAAACAGAAAACAAATGATAATATGGTACACCTAAACCCAAGCATATTATAATTATGTTACAATTCAAAGGATTAACACTGCAATGAAAAGGAAGAAATTGTCAAAATGGATTATAAACAACAGGATCCAAATATATACACTTTAAATATACAGTAACCTATGTGCTGAAATTAAAAGAATGAGAAAGTTACACTTTGTAAAATATAACCATTAAAGAGAAGAATTAGCTATACTGACATCATAAAGGTACATTTCAAGCCAACAAAATACTATAGTTAAAAATGGCATTTTATAATGAGAAAGCGTTCAATTTATCAGAAAGACATAACAATCATAAATATGCATAGAACTAATAAAATAGCTTTAAAACGCATGAAACAAAAATTGAGAAAACTCAAAGGAGAAACAAAAATCTACAATTATATGGGAGATTTTAACACTCCTTTCTAAAGCAATTGATAGAAAAACTAAATACAAAAATCATTAAAGAGATAAAAGATCTGAATACTATCAAGTGCAAAGACATAATTAATAGTGATATTTAAGGAGCACTCTGCCCAGTAGTTGCAAAATACAAATTATTCTCAGGTACATATAGTACTTTCACCAAAACAATATGCTTGGCCTTAAGTCTCAATAAATATAAAAATATAGGCCGGGCGCAGTGGCTCACGCCTGTAATCCCAGCACTTTGAGAGGCCGAGGCGGGCGGATCACGAGGCCAGGAGACCCAGACCATCCTGGCTAACACGGTGAAATCCCATCTCTACTAAAAATTTAAAAAAAAAAAAAAAATTAGCTGGGTGTGGCGGCGGGCACTGGTAGTCCCCGCTACTCAGGAGGCTGAGGCAGGAGAATGGCGTGACCCCAGGAGGCGGAGCTTGCAGTGAGCCGCGATCATGCCACTGCACTCCAGCCCAGGCGACAGATCAACAGATCGAGACTCTGTCACAAATAAATAAATTAATTATATATATATACAGTAGTCTTATCAAGTACTACCTGTGACCACAATGGAAGTAGATTAGAAGTAACAATAAAACAGTTTATACACATATACACACACACAAATATTTCAAAAGTAAACAAGACACTTACTCTCTCACTTACTCTCCAAACAGAAAATCCAAAAGGAAATCAGAAACATTTCTAAACGAATGCTTATTTGTAGAAATTGAGGAGCTTATAGTAAAATTACTACAAAAAAGCAAACGAGCAAGAACATACAGAATATTCTTGAAAAAGAATAAAGTAACTTACATTACCCTCATTTCAAAAGTTACTATAAAGCTATATATACGAATAGGCATATATCTGGACTCTGTTCCATTGATTATTTTGTCAATTATTATACTAATACCATACCGTCTTGATATTTTAGCTCAATAAATAACTCTCAAATCAGGGATTGTAAATCCTCCAACTTGTTCTTTATGAAACTTGATTTTGCTCTTCTAAGTTCTTTGCATTTCCCTACAAACTTTAGAATTGATTTGTCAATTTCTTTTTTTTCTTTTTTCTTTTTGATACAGAGTCTCGCTCTGTTGCCAGGCTGGAGTGTAGTGGCTCGATCTTGGCTCACTGTAACCTTTGCCTCCCGGGTTGGAGCAATTCTCCTGCCTCAGCCTCCCAAGTAGCTGGGACTACAGGCACACGCCACCATGCCCAGCTAATTTTTGTATTTTTAGTAGAGAAAGGGCTTTCACCATGTTGGTCAGGATGGTCTCGATCTCTTGACATCGTAACTCACCGGCCTCGGCCTCTCAAAGTGCTGGGATTACAGGTGTGAGACACCGTGGCCGGCCGTCAATTTCTTAAAATAACAGAAAAAGCCTCCTGGGAGTTTGATTGGGATCTTTTGTCTTTTAAAAAACAAAAAACAAACAAACAAACAAACAAAAAAACCCAGAAAAACCCACCTGGGATTTTGATTGGGAATCTTTCTGTCTTTGAGGGGACAGATTTCTTAAATGAAATACCAAACCAATTAACTATAAATGATTAATTTGCCTAAATTAAAATTAAGAAGTAGCTGGGCGTGGTGGCTCATGCCTGTAATCCCAGCACTTTGGAAGGCCACAGCAAGTGGATTACCTGAAGTCAGGAGTTCAAGACCAGTCTGACCAACATGGTGAAACCAGGTCTATACTAAAAATTCAAAAAATTAGCCAGGTGTGGTGGCAGGCGCCTATAAGCCCAGCTACTTGGGAGGCTGAGGCAAGAGAATTGCTTGAATCCAGGAGGTGGAGGTTCCAATGAGCCAAGATCGCACCATTTACTCCAAGCCTGGGCAACAAGAGCAAAACTCTGTCTCAAAAAAAAAAAAAAGAAGTAATTTAATTTCTGTTCATCAAACGACACCTTGAAGAAAATCAAAAGAAAAGACAAGTACACAGTGAGATATCTGCCATATATTAATTTACTAGGGATTAATATTAAGAACATATAAAGAGCTTTTGAAAATCAATAAGAAAAAATCCAGTAGAAGATTGAACAAAAGACATAAACAGATATTTCACAAAGAAGACACACACTGGCTAGTCAGTGATATGCACGTAAAAAACAAAATAAAATATTATTTTATACCTATTCAGTTGGCAATGAATTAAGAAGTCTGATAACACCAAGTGTTGAGTAGGACAGGAAACAACCAGATCTCTTTTATATTGTTGGTAGTAGTAAAACCAATAAAACCACTTTGAAAAACAGGTGATCAGTGTTGTCTAAAAGTAACATTTTCATACTTTATAATCCAGGATTTCTACTCCTAGATATATAACTCACAAAGATGCATGAATGTGTATGTCAAGAAACACGTGTGAAAATGTCAACACTAATATTATCCATAACAACAAAAATGGAAATAACAAAAGTTCTCATCTAGAGATACATGTAAAAATAGTTATGATATACTCACATATAACAGAATATTTTTAAACAGGGAAAACAAAGAGCTATATCAAAAAACATGAATAAATCTTAGTAACATAATGATGAGTCAAAATTGCCTAACCCCATAAATGACACATTATATCATTTTTATGAATGACTAAACAATAACCTGTTTCCTCATAAATTTGTATATGATAAAACTGTTTTTAAAAAATCAAAATGATAAGAAGTTCGGTGATTACCTCTTATCCTCTTATAAGAGAATCAAAGCACATACAAGTAGATGTAAGCCATTTGTAATGATCTAGTCTTTGGATAAGTTGGTTGAACCAAGGGTGTTTATTATAATAAAGAACTAAACAAAGCCATTAAATTAAATTGTCATATGCATACAATAGTATGTCATAACACAAATTTTATCATTGATCCAATATTGTGTACCTGAAGTCCAAAAAATTCATACAATACGGTACAATCTTAAAAACTGTTGTCGTAAGGTTGAGTAATTAGCAAGACAAATGTAGTATGTTCAAAAATTACAATCCATTTCTGAATTTAATTAATACATTATAAAATTTAAAGAAAAACTATGAGTGCCTTAAAAACACTTAAATAAATTCACAGAGATTTTTTTAAAGATGTGTAGAGTTGAAAGTTGCCCTGAAAATTATCTAAAAAGGTGCCATTTAACATTTTCTATATGCTAAGCTCTGCACTTTACTGGCACTATGTCATTAAACTTCATAAAACTCTATGACATAGATACTATTAATGTCAACATTTTGTTTATGAGAAAGTTTTGAATAAAAGGGCTAAGAAATGTGTTTAAGTTCACAAAGCTCACAGAGCTATAATTAATCTCAGGCTAAACCAGATCCTACATATTTATCTATACATTTATACTACCTTCATTTACCAAAGGAAATAGTAAGAAAGGTTATATGGCCTGTCCAAAATCATGTATCAAGGTAGTGGCAGAATTAGGACTACTGGATATTAAGTACCGCATACCAGGCATTATGGCAAGTACTTTATGAAACTTACTGTTAGATACTCTTTCTATTCCATTAGCTCATTCAGTTAAAAAGTCTCAAAAGGGGCATGACTTATTAATTTGCTTTTCAATAATGTATATCACCCAAATGTTTCATTACGATAACTATATTTGCTAGACCCCATACTACTACATGCATTTCTATATGAATCTGTATTGTAATATTCATGCTTACAAACAGTATAAAAACAGTATAATGCAAAACTATCTGCACACTTCTTACACTTCAATAAATGCAAATATATTTAAATTTTCATGTTTTAGTCAATTGTAGGAGATTTAATTTGATATTACACTGAATAACAGTTTTAGAAAATGTCACTCACCTGTGCTGAGTAGTCTGGATCACTTTCTTGAGATAAAGGATGAGGTGCTCTCTGTGATTCCTGAAGTTTTTCTTTTAACTTAGCATTTTCTTGCTCTTTCTGTAATAGCTGATCCTGAAGATTAACAACACTTTGCCGGAGCATAGCTTCATTTGATTTTGTGGTTTCAAAACAAATATGTAACTCATTGTAAAGCTGTTTCAAAAAATATATCCAAATTATATTAATAATCAAAAAAGCTATGTGTCTGTGTGTGTGTGTGTGCGCGTGTATATATACGAATTGTATAAACATAGTTCTTGTCCTCAGGTTATTTTAATAGTCGGAGAGAGAAAGAAGATATAAACACAAAAAAAACTAACTAAATTCTATAATAATATTTTTAATATTTAATTTAACATTTAAAATTTGATAATAATAACTAGAAAATATGTTTTTAAAAAAAGGCGATATGTATTATTGGCCAGTGTAATACAGGAAAAGAAGGCCACATTTCTGAGGAAGAAAATACTTTAAGCTAGCTATATTAATCATGGAGGGAATTATGACCTGAACTGAACCATGACAATATAATTGGAACTGACCAAAAACAAAAAGTCATTCTAAAGATAGAAGAAATGTGAAAAAAAGTTATGTACAGTGATAGGAAAGGACAGAAAGGAGCATAAGGTATATCAGTTTAACTGGACTTAATATATACATTTGAAAGAAAACAAAATCAGTAGTATTTCATTAAGAGTTAATTAATGTTGAATTCTACATTCTTATTAAGTATAATTTAGTATCTACTGCTAGGAGGAACAGAGGAATAGTAAGAGACAAAGTCAAGCAATAAGGCTGTAGATAGAATGTAAAGACTCTTCAATACCGGATTAAGAGGATGGACTTGTTCTGAAGGAGTTACTGAAAACCTTAAACAGTGTGAAAAAATAGAAGCAATGTTTTGAAGACTTACTGAAAACTTTAAAACCTTTTTAAGTCAAGGCAATAAGCATTCAATAAATTTAAAAGCTTATTAAAACTATGAGATACCATGACATGTAAGTGCTATCATACAGAGAGTAATATAGGGTTAACAATGGTATGCCTCCAGTACTTGTGAACTTGCTTGGTAATGAAAATCCTAATGTATAATTGTGATTTAATGAGATATAATTCAATCTGTGGTAGTTGATTTACATACAGAATCTGTATGTATATCTGTGGCTGATCCTAGAAAAGTGACCTAAGTGTGAAAATGTGTGAGTGTGTAGTGTGTGTGTGTGGTTTTAAAGGCTAACAGTAAAATCTTACAATAAGAACAAAACCCTCAAGTGTAAAATCTCAAAATTATGTAGATGCTATGGTAAGTTTTTAGCTTTGCTCATTTAATTAAAGATACAGAACATCTTCCATCAGTTTGCCTTGCCTCATGGGAAGAAACTTACATACATAAAAGATTGTAAAGCTTTAGCTCATCTAGAAACCTAGGATTTGTGTACATTTCTGTATGCATGTTATACCTCTGTTTTTTAAATTTAAAATTTAAAAAGGCTTGTAAAAACTTTTCATTAATACATCTCCTGAAACATAATTTGTCACAAAAATAAGACCCTCCAAAGTTCCACTCCACTGGCATATAATTAGCTCAATATATCTTTTATCTTTTATTTTTTAAAAAATGTATCTCTGGCTGGGAATGGTGGCTCATGCCTGTAATCCCAGCACTTTGGGAGGTCAAGGCAGGCGGGTCACCTGAGCTCAGGAGTTCGAGACCAGCCTGGGCAATATGACGAATCCCCGTCTCTACCAAAAATACAAAAAATTACCCGGGCGTGGTAGCATGCACCTGTATTCCCAGCTACTTGGAAGGCTAAGGTGGGAGGATCACTTGAGCCCAGGAGGTCGAGGCTTCAGTGAGCCAAGATTGCGCCACTGCACTCCAGTCTGGGTGACGTGGGGAGTTGTTGTCTTTAAAAAAATAAAATTATCTATCTATATTATTGTGGAGATATTTAAAATAATCCACTTCAATTTATAGCCAAAGTCTAGGCAATTTTTTAAAAGAAAAGTGTTGCCTATATCATTTATAAAAAAATTTAGAACATCAATTTATATTTTCCCTTCCCATTACCTTTATACCAAGGAGCATGTCCAATGTCCCTTCCACAGCTAATACCATCAGATATTCTAGGAGGGAAGAAAGAGTAGGAACCTGCCAGCTTTCAGGGACAATGAAGAGTTCAGAGTGCCTACTTGTACTGTGCTGCTGCTCTCATGACTAGGTTCAGTGTAGAAAAGAAAAAAGCAAACCCTGGACACAAAAGCTAACCTGGCTAGGGAGAGATGAAGCTATAATGAGTGAGGGTCTTCTCTTCACTGCACAGTCACTTTTTCAATGAAAATTTAACCACTTCGTAATCTCAGGTGCTTTGTTTACACTAACCAATATTTACCCCATCAGTACAAATTAATCCCTCTGAGGTAAATAATAGAAAATATTATTAAAGAATTCACATATTTCAAAAATTTGAGAATCTCATGGACACTGATAAGTGCTGACAAAGAAAACTACATACCTTCCGTCCTAATGACCAAGGTACAGGCATGATGCTAGGTTATGGTCAGGATTGAGGACCAAATTACTGGTCTCTAGTGCCAAGGATGTGGTATACCTTACTCTTGGGTGCCACATCTTGGTACCTTCTTCCACAAATATAAGGCTCTAGGCCGATTCATTCATGGAAGAAGGCTCTATCTTAATTTATCTCCTCTCGTCTACTGCCTTGCTTCATAAAATAGAGGACTAGCCAAGCACGTTGGCTCATGCCTGTAATCCCAGCACTTTGGGAGACTGAGGCCGGCAGATCACCTGATGTCGGGAGTTCAAGACCAGCCTAACCAACACGGAGAAACCCCGTCTCTACTAAAAATACAAAATTAGCCGGGCGTGGTGGTGCATGCCTGTAATCCCAGCTACTCAGGAGGCTGAGGCAGGAGAATTGCTTGAACCCAGGAGGCAGAGGTTGCAGTGAGCTGAGATCGCGCCATTGCATTCCGGCCTGGGCGACAGGGAGAGACTCAAACTCAAAAAAAAAATAAAATAGACGACTAATAGCACTCTTCTTGTGTTCTCTACTTTGCTCTCTCTGACATGCAGTTTAAGCAGGTGCATTCCTATTCAGAAGTTGCCCTGACTTGATGTGATATGACTAGGTGGGTAAGACTACACTGGTACAAACTCTGTCTTGCACTGAATATCCATCCTTCCAAGCAGCAGGTGAAAAAGAACTGAGAAAGCCCAGAACAAATTAGATCAGCTTTGCTCTAGGTTTTGGAACAAACTCTTATCTTATTCCTTAGCTTACTCCAAACATACATCTCTTACTTGCCTGTTTTCTTTATTGGCTGACTGGATTTCACGTATTTAATAGTAATGAGATCACTCAGTTGTGAACTTAACGAGTACAGGAAGCAAAGATAGTCCTCCAGTCATTTTTAACTCTAGGCCTCAGTCCAGCAGTAAACTTTGTTAAAACAGCCTTCAACAAGGTTAAATCTAGCTTTATTTCTAAAGTGTTTTTTGGTGACAAGACCTCAGGGTAATAAAATATTTATTTCTCTAGGAGATCCTGCAAGAAGGCAAAAGCTTAGGATGTTCCAGTGCCCTGGGTAGATTCCATCTTATTCTCATTCCATTAGTAAGAGTAGAGTAAAAAAACACAAAAACAAAAACAAAAAAACACAAAAAAACACACACAAAAAACAAAACAGTGCTCAAGTGATTAAATTAGGCAATATGATAAATTCATTCATCTGCATTGCTTTAGGCATACTGAGTTATATTCTTTCCTATTAGCAAGAAGATTCCTACAACAGTTTTCAGAGAGGCTCTTTTCTCTATAATTTATTTCCTCTAATAATCCAAAAAGTTCAAATGGATCAGAATTTTTTTGTAAGATTCTGGCCTATAAAAATGTAATCATGTATTACATTATATGCTTTAGAAGTATCAATCATTATAATTCATAAGCAATATATTATCCTTACTATTCTTCATGCTATTTTCTATTGAAGAAATTAAAGTGAAAAAGGTTAAAAGGATCTCCAGGGGACAGAAAGCAAGTTAGAAATAAGACCTTATACTCCAACTCCTTTAATTTTCAGGGGCCTAGACTGAAGAGCCCCTTTTCAAATATTTTATTAGTGTTAAAGAAGTAAATGATATCTTATGTATCTTAACAATTTTGAAAATGTATATATTCTGTTACCCAATGATACTAATTTAAGAATTGAAATCGTCCAAATCTAGTAAATACACTACAGCATTCCCTCAGTATCCACAAGATTGTTTCCAGGACCCAGGTGGATAACAAAAATCTGCAAATGCACAAGTGCCTTATATAAAATGGCACGGTATTTGCTTATAACCTATGTACATCCTCCTGTATACTTTAAACCATCTCTGGATTACTTATAAGATGGAATTTTCCCAGTGGTTACAATGTAAACACTATGTAAACAGTTACTATACTCTTTTTGTATTAATTTTTATTGTTGTACTGCTATTTTTTTTCCCCAAATATTTTCGATTCATGGTTGGTTGAATCTGTGAATGGGGATATGCCCTGTGGATACAAAGTACCAACTGTATTTGCAACACTGACTGAAACAATAAATTCTTCAAGTGAAAACTGTACTATTTATAGCCAAAAATGAGAACACTAATTTAACATGTAATTTCATATGCTACCTCCTTATTTTCCTTCTTTGTTAATAGTTTGAGTAATATTGTCACTAAATAGAACAAAAAGTTATAAAATACATGTTAGTACCCCAACCATGTTTGATGGTCTAGAAATCATAAATGCTGATATAATTCCCTATCAATATTTAAATCATACACATATATAAATGATGTGCAGACACACAAAAATATTAAAAATTATATGAATGGCTACATGCTCAGAGGAAGAGAACACATTAGAGTACTTTTATTTATCTTGGTAGGTGTTTTCTCCCGGAAAACTCTTCCACACTATATGTTTGGTAGACTTGTGTATGACACTGATGAATTCGTTACGGAGAGCTCTGGGACAATATGACTCACCTCTGTGCTCAAAACCTTTTTCAGTTTTCTTTCTTCACCTTTGTCTCCCCTCCTCAATTCCCACATCCTACCACTTGGGACAATTGTTTTTATCTTTTCAAATAAT